TTTGCGGCCTTTGGTGCCGAAGTCTCTTTGTGCTCCACACTTCGCTTGGCAGTCTTGGGGTCCTCCGGCTTCGTGCTCGTCTTCGGGCTTGTGGCTTTCGCCTTGCCCTTCGCCTTTGCCTTGGGCTTTTTTGGCTGCTTCGGCTTCAGCTTGATCTCGGCAGGGGCCTTCTGCTGGGCTGCTTCCAGCATCAACTTCTCTCCCTTATCGATAGCCATCTTGTTCAACGTGTCCGTGAAGCTCAAAGCTTTCAAAGGGGAGGCACCGTCTGCCGCCGACCCTGGCTCATGTGAGCTCAAAGATGACAAGGAATCCCTTTGCTGCAAGACTCTGGTAAACACTTTGCCAGATTCCAGAAAATCCGGGACACTCGTCGAAGGGCTGCTCTTGATGCTCGAGCTGCTCACGGTGCGAGCAGGAGGAGTGCTCAAAACCAAAGCCGTTGAGGCTGGAGCTGAGGACGATGATGGGGGTGCCTCTACCTGCTCCTCATCACCCATGTCGCCAGGAACGACCACCACCAGCTGCAAGAGATCGTTGAGGATCTCTTGTTGTGCAGAGTCCGCCTTTTTGAAGCATCGCTGCTTAAGAAGCTCACTCATCTTGAGACCGCGAAGGTGATTTAATCCGACTCTGATTTGCTCGTCCATCGTGTCGATGAAGTCAGCATCGGACTGCCGGGTCATGTTCACTTTCTTGCTCTCGATCAGTCGAGTCACTGCTGTGCGATTCTTTTTACCGGAAATGGTCGCATTGGGAGCCAAGCGAAGCAGAGACTTCCAAAGCGAGGCCGACTTGCTCAAAAAGACCGGACAAGGAGCACTCTTCCAGGAGTAGCCGCTGGGACCTTCGAGCAGCTTTGCAAGGTTGTCGTCCCCCTTCTCTTTCAAGAACTCGTCCAAGCACTTCTTAAGATCGCCCACACCCACAGCGGGGTCCGCCACCGAACGAAAACGAACTGCTGCATTCTTCAGCAGCATGGCAAAGCACGACGAAAAGCTACAGCTACAGATCCAAGTTGAGTCCATACATACATAAACATGCTCACTTACAGACATGACATGTACTGCCCCACACAGTAAGCTGACCATATATACCCATTACATGATACACTGATACACAAGTTCTGATCCGCACTCATGCACAGACACACACTCGTGAGTTTCAACTTCAAAACACTTGAAACGATCGGCCGGAGCAATGCACACAACACTCACATACATACATACGTACATACATACATACACACACACCCCTCTCTCAAGGTAAGACTCTCGTTCTCTCAAGGAAGACACAGAAAACACATCTTTTTTCTCTCTCAAGGTAGACCCCACGTCTTTTTTCTCTCTCAAGGTAGAACCCTTTCGCTTCTCCCTCAAGGTAGCTCTTCCAGGGTGTAGAGGTTCTATGAGTTTGGGTTTGAAGGCCTCAAGGGTTGAAGGGTTTACAACAAGTTCAAGGTTTTTATCAGGTTATGTATGGCCTGTAAGGGTTCATTCTTTGGGAGGTCCGGACTTTTGCTATCTAAGGGTTTCACTGGTTTATCTAGAGGTTTAGTAGGTTGTGTTGTTGTGTTGTTGTGCTTTGTGTGTATGTGCCGTTATGTTCGGTGTGGTTGCTTTGAGTGTGTGTTGTATCTCGTCCGTGTGTGTGTGTGTCTGTGTGTGTGTGTGTGTGTGTGTCTGTGTCGCCTGTGTTGTGATATGTGTGGGTGTGTGATTTCTGTATTGTTTGTTGTGTGCTTGTGTGTCTGTTGGATTGTCGGTGTGATATATATATATATATATACACATGTATATATGTTTGTTGTTTGTGTGTGTGTTGCGGAAGATGTGTGCAGGTGGGTTCGTATATGTGTCGGTCTGCCATGTACACTTGAATTGTTTTTTGCATGTAAGTACCCATATTCGTTGCCAGAAATAATGCAAAAACATGAAGAGCAGTTTAGTGGAAGTTTTGATTTCGGCCCCTTGAAACTGCCACTCAGGGTGAAGCAGTTTGGAAGCAGTTTCAGAAGCAGTTTAGAGGAAACTTCCACCAAACTTCCTCTAGCAGTTTTGCACCGAGTTTACTTCATAGTTAAAATTTTTGCTTCGCAAAGTCACTTTGACGCCGCGCAAATTAACTATTTTCTACGCCCGGTTTTAACTTCGAAGTCAAAGTCAAAATGAACCGAAGTAAAAATTTTTACTATTGACTATTTCCTGCTTTTTTGACTTCGCCGGTCTATTGGGTAGGGTATTGGGGCCTAGCGTCGAAACGTCTCCAGGTCTTACCTGGGCCGCTAGGGTCCTTTTGGGTAAGAAGACGTTCCTTCATGTGCACCACTGAGTGATGCTGAACAAGGACGCGTGCGTACTCATCCACGCTGTGTACGCGGGCGGCGGTCTTGACCATTAGCTGCTCGGACCTTTCCAACCCTGAAAGCTCAACAAGGAGATTAGCCCTCATTGCTTCAGAAAGGCGGATATCGGGATCCAGCTCACGCAAGGTCGACCACCACCGCTTTCGGCGGGCTATGTAAGACAACATAGGCTCGCCAGGTTGCTTTGCAAGTGGGCCCGTCAGGAGCTGTCCCTGACGGAAGAGTTCGGACGCCTCTTCGGATTGAAGAGGGAAGGCTTGCCTCCTGATTTCTTCTATCAGGTAGTCGACGCCGTCATGGCGAAGCAGACGTTCCAGGCCGACGTCGCGAGCGATGCAAAAGGCATCTCCTCGGAGACCCTCTAGGATCTTGCTAACGCACTCGCTCATGTCGAGCGACTCGTCCTTGACGTCTTGCAAGGTGTACACCGTCGGATCCGTGTCCGGCTCTTGCTCGTCGTCGCCCGTCACTTGACTGGGGTGTGACGGTAGCGACTCCGCATCCTCTTCTTCTGCCTCGGACACGGGCTTAGTCCGTTTTGCGCTGGACGGACTGGCGGGTATACCGCTGCTCGCATCGCCCTCTGTGGGGGATGCACTGGTCCCTTGACTGGCCCTGCCACGCCACTTCCTTGGTGACTCGCTCTTGGACCTTGCTGACTCGGCAAAACGCAGGTCCTTCAGAGCTTCACGCCGCTGCTTCTCCTTATGCTGCAGCACACGGATCTGTGTCCGGAAGCACCAATCGTGGAAGCCAGCAGCCGACCCGTCGTATATGTACGAGCCGCTTTTGGTTTCTGCAGGGCTCAGGTTCTGTGACCAGAGATTGGGCTGGTAACGCAAACCTGCCACGCTCATGGCTTCGAGGATAGAAGGGGCCTCTGCTCCACGACTATCACTACTCTACCCAACGGACCCCGGACCTCAGGCTCAACGGGGGTGAAACACTAGTGGTTGTCCTCACAGCTCCGCTACCAGTTTGAAGCAGGAACTGGATTAGTGAGTGTCCAACCACACAACGAGCACACTTTTTGATCTGAGCCCAAGACGTCTGTCGTACAGGGTGCATTCAGAACTGAACATGAAAAACTACGCTCGCATGAGGACAAGTCAACACGGCCCTTCAAGACAGGGAAATTTCACAAGGGTTTAGGGGTTGAGGGGTTTCAGCAGGGTCAACATGTTCTAATGTTGCAAGGTTTTTTATATTGCGGCTTGGGATTTCAAGATAATCGGGTTTCTTGGGTATGGTTAGCTACTCATTCTTGGTTGTGTCTATTATGGGCCAAGTCTTCCATGGACTCTCCTACGCCCTCAGCTTTGGGCATTGCCATGTTGGGGGCTAGCCGAATAACCGGGAGGTGCATGGGAGGTGCATGGATTTTCGGTGCGCGCAGGGTGCGACTGCGCGGGGTGAGCGACAAGCGACAGGTGAGCGCGTCTGCTTCGAGTCAACGCGGAACGCGGCGACAGCAAGCGGAAAGTGAATGCGAGAACTGCAAGCGGAAAGTGAACGCGACCGCGGAACGACGGCAAGGACTCTCTGTGTGCATCTTCGGGCCAAGAACCCATCATGCCAAACCCTATGGGTAGTTGTCAAAATTAAGGTCCCTTGTTGGGTACCCTAAATAATAGGTGCCGTACTATAATAGGAACCCCAAAACGGACCATAATTTTGACAACCACCCATATAATATCGGGCCCTAATTCATTACCTATGCTATTTGGGGGGGGTTCCTCACTATCTTTATAGTAGAATGGGCCCCCAAAACCCTTTTCTAAGTCTTTAAGGCCCCAAAAAGTAGGTAAGAGTATGGGTCACAACTCAGAATCTTCAACAGCACCACCAACTCGCCACTTCATCAAGCTAAATATATTTCGGTGCTGGGTCATGATCGTCATCATCAACGCAAAAGCAACGACGACAACAGGCCCCGTCGTCGTTGCCGCAATACTATAAAGACAGTAACAAGGGCGGTTGCTGTCAAGCAGCCTAACTTTCCACAACCCTTCAGAGGGACAGACCGCAATACTAACGAATCCTAGGATTTTCGAAGGTTCTTTGGGGCGCTGTGGCCGTAGGAATTTAAAACCTAGAATGGTAAGGTCTATAGGGGAGTTTCCGAAAATAGGGGACCCTAAAATAGTATCCTAAATAGTAGGAACCTTATCATCAGGACCCCAAAGAAAGTTCCCCTAATTTTCGGAAACTCCCAAAGTTGAGAGTCCGGACAGCACGGATTTTCTCACGGGTCGGAGCTGTTGGATGCCAGGCTCGTGCCAGAAAGCTTAGCCAAGCGGAGGTCTACGTTCTATAGGCTTTAGGGTTTTTTTAAAGATGCAATGGCCTTTCTCCGCTTTGCCTGCAGGTCCAGCTTTGGGGTTTGGGGTTTAGGGTTTGGGGTTTAGCATCTCAGAAAGGTTCCGCGATAGCTGCACTGCTAGGGAGTTACACAAAGTGTTATCATGGCTTTACAAGGCTATATCCCCGGACAGCTGCGATTAGAAGAGCGGTTGAGAATGAGACGTTTTCGTGGTTCGGGGATTGCCCGGCGTTTGGGTCTCGGCAAACAGCTCGATAACACGGAAGTCATGACCTTAGGCCAACTTCCCATGTGAGGTGCAAACCAAGCGGCACTTTGCAAGCATTGGTACAGGAATGGGTGTACCACAACCTCAGGCTCTGCAGGAGGAAGCGAGAAAAGCAATAGCCTCGCTCCGACAATCGGAGATAGTAGTCGTGATTGAAGATTGAACGACCGCTCACGATCCCATTACATAGCTGGTACTGGCGGCAAGAACAACATGGAGAGCGTTAGTCCACCCGGCTCACCACCCTCACCGCCCACATCACCCACCCCGTCCTCCATCGCCACCTTCCTTGGCCCTTTAACAAACTTTTTTTCAGAAGACGATTTTGTAAATTTAAAACGAAGACGATTTTTTCTCGTCCCCCGCCCAGCCGGTCAACAATGCGCAGTGGGTCCTTGCAGGAAGCAGGGGCTGCTACAAGGACAATAGGGCAGAAGGGTATTGCGGCGGTATGTTACCCTGAGGGTCCTTGTGCCCAAATCGTAGATACTTTGGGCCCAATGTACCTATGATGTAGGGAATACTTCAAGGCAAACGCAGTGTACTATTCTCCATGGGTAAAAGGAGGGACCCTTAATAAGGACCCCTACGTATATACCCTTAATATGGCTATTCTATACCAATTATATAGCCCATTAATTACAGGGTAGGGGTCCCCATTAAGGGTCCCTCTTTTCCCCTTTGATATTTGGGTACATGGACCCAGCACGGCGTAAGTATATAGTATACATCCAAAGCTCTTGCGTGAGACCTGCTTGTGAGGGCAAAGCAAAAGGAAATGAGAGGAAAGACCCTCAGGGTTATATGCAGGGATTGCCGGATCTTGTGCGTCATCGAGCCAGGCTAAGGCGATGTTCAGAGTTCGGAAGTTCGGGAGATCCTATACCCTAAACCCCTACCTGGACCCCAAAAGTATGTAGAATAATAGCCTTTTAGAGGTTTTGGGCCATTGTTTTACTTACTTTGGGGGGTCTAGGTAAACCCAAAAAACCCTAAACCCTAAACCGCTAAACCCTGACTCTTCAGGCATTGAACAAGCAGGAACACGCAAGAGGGAGCTGGAGGAGGCTGCTCAGAACGCTTGTCCTATGGGGTACCTTATTTGGGGGTCCTACAATAAGCATTCTACTATTCAGGGTACGAAACTATGGTCCCCTATCTTCGGAAACTCCCATATGTACTCCTGATAACAGGAGAAGGCGCAGGGTCATTGATCCAAAGAACCAACCACACCATCGGTTTAGGATTTAGGGTTTGTGCGGTTTAGGGGATATCTGGGTCAAGGCTAGCACAAACCCTGAAGCCCGAAACGATGAGTCTAAGATCCAGCATTCTAAATTGCAAAAGGGCAGTGGCACCGGAGAAGTGTTATCATACCCCCCCCCCCCAAAGTAGGCAAATATTTTCCCAACACCTATAAAAGGCTCTTATTTTACAGAATTTGGGGGTCCAGGATGACGCGAGACCCTTTCATCAACTTGGGCGCCCGGCCCACCGCTTTCCTCGACCCATGGTGTGGGAGTCCCACCGTGCTTGGCGCGGCTTTGAGTTTTAGGGTTTAGGGTTTAGGGTTTACCTGAACCTACCAAAACCTACTTTTTTGTAGGGTCCCTATAAAATCCATATTAGGGTTTTAATAAGAACCTACAAGAAAGTAGGGTTTGGTAGTTTAAGGTAGGGTCCAAGTATCATTATGGTATATACTTATAGGGTATTGGGGGGGTCTAAGTACATACCAACATGATACTTGGACCCTTTGGGTGGGGTATGTATGACTGGAGGAATTCGAGTACTAATCGTTCCAAACCCGGTAGCAGGAATCAGGGTTCAGCATTCGGGGTTCTACTGTAAGGGCCTTAATAATTAGAAAAAGGTTTTGGGCGTTCCGAAATTATGATTACAGTAAAAAGTACCCCCCAAACCCTGCTCTAATTATTCAGGCCCCTATACTAAAACCCTTATAGTAGCCCTTGAAGGAACCCGCTTCTTATCATTTAGGCCCCTGCAGTATGACCCCTAAAACCTAAACCCTATAATCCGCTGGTCCTAAAACTATTCTAAAGCCCTAAATCCAAGGCATCAGCCTGAATCCCCTAGGGTTTGGGGTTTAGGGGTTTAGGGTTTAGGGAGCAGTCTAGGGCTCAGGTGCTTAGGGATCGAATAGGGCTTGGGGCACATGAAATACTGGGGATGCCCAGTAAGCTAGGAATAAAAAGGGCTCCCTTTTTTGGTATTGGGTAACTTTATAAAGAACCAGGACTACAAAAAGGGAAAAAGGGTCCTCTGGGAGGGCCTAGATATTGAAGCCCGGGAAACTTCTCAAGGATCCTTCTTTGGCAACCTTGCTGGTAAACCTGGCGACCGACTTCGGAGTTAGAGGATTCCCTAAAATATAATAGGATCCCTAAGGTGATTTAAGGAATATTCCCTAATCAAAGGGTATTGGCGTCTCTGCGTCCTTTGTTGAGGTCACCTTACAGGGTCATATAGGGGCCGTAATAATTAGAATAGGGTTTGGGGGCCCATTCTACTCTAGTTATAATAAGGAACCCCCCAGAATAGTATAGGTATTAGTTAGGCCCCTATATTAGGGCTTTAGAGTTTTGTGTAGGGCTTCCGGGCTGAGCGTTTCAGCGTTTTAGGAGCTCAGGGTTTGGGGGGCTGTAGGGTTTAGGGACACGTATTAGGGCTCAGGGTTTGAGGGCTGTGGCGTTCAGGGACATGCTAAATGACTTACACGATTCAAAGCGTCGGCACCGCAATGTAAACTCTACATGGGCCCTATAGCATCTGCCTGTCTCAGGCCCCGTATGGTAGTTTCTTTACATAAGTCCTTCAAAAGGTAGGTCATATAGGGTTGAGGTAAGCCATAGAAAAAGACAAACTACATAAACCCTGAAGCCTGAAAAACGCAAACCCACGCAAGCTCTTGAGCTAGTTTCGAAAAGCAGCAACAACCCAGACACTCCAAGACCTTGAAATTAAGGAATATACCATAAATTCAGATTAGGGATCCTATTATAACTTAAGGTTATTCCTTTCTTAAGGGGTTTTGGAGTGTCTGGGAAAAAGGAGTCGCTTGGCGGCAAGACACCGGGCAACTCGGCGCAGGAAGAGGCGGCAATCTATCCACATCATGGGAGTCATCCACAGCCCGAACCTCAAAATTAAGAGCTCCTTTATAAAGGGATCTATAAGGATCCAAAGGGTTTAAGGTTTAGGGTTTGGGATTTCCGAAAATTAGGGGTAGCTTATTTTGGCGTGCTTATCATAAAGGATCCTGGTATCTAGGGTACTATATCAGCTAGGATACCCAGTAACCTAAGAATAAAAAGGCCTCTCTTTTTGGTATTGGGCAACTTTATAAGGAACCTAGGACTACAGAAAGGGAATAAGGGTACTACTGGGCATCCTAGTATATCAGGGTCCCCGATTTTCGGAACCTCCATGGAGCGACAGGCAAATGTCCAGCGGCACGAGCTTTCGCTTGTGGTATCGGATTTTCTAGACTCCGGGCTGAAACTGCGCGGATTTTTCAAGTCATGTAGGGCTGGGGATCATACTTACTTAGTATTGGGGGCCTGAATGAGTAGAATAGAGTTCGGGGGCCGATGCGCAGTCAAGGCACAGCAAAGCCCTTGTGGATCAAGGCCATGGTCATAAGCATGCGAGCGACAGTCCTTGTGTAATATAGGGGCATTAATAGTTAGAATAGGGTTTAAGGGTATTTTCTACCATACTTATAATAAGGGCCCCGCAAAAAATTGTGGTAATTATTTAGGCACCTACAATAGAGCTTTCAGATGCGTCATGCTCTGGGTCCTAATCCGCCGCAGCTGCTGTTGCGTGCAGCCCCTACATATCCCAGACCCGGGGAGGATCCAAAAAGTAGATCCCTTAATGGGGGTTCCTATAATAAAGTACCCTTAGTAGTATAGCGCCCCAAATTAGGGGATCTACTTTCTAGATCCTGCCGGGATTCTGGGTACCTGAAAAGTCTATTCTCGCAATCAATCCTGAAAGCAACCTGCTGCTCCCGGAGTACGATCTTTCCTCAGCCTGTGAGCTTTGGTGCCTGAACCTCAAGCCCGAAGCCCTAAACCCGAATATCAGGGCCACGGAAATAGAACAGGTTTTCTGGGTATAGTGTATCGTAATTTGTATGCATCTAGGACAAACCAGGCGACATTGACCTCAAGCGGATACTTGTACCCGTCATTTCTTTCGACCCCTACCTATATTTCAACCCGAAACCACGAGCCCTACCTGGACCCTAGAAAACCTACCTTCAGGTTCCGTACGATGGATTCCTTATACAAATCCTGAAACAGGTAGGTTATTCTATACTGAACTTAGAATCCTAGCAAAAATTGTAATTTTAGAATAACCAAAATTTAAAAAATATTTCTAAGTACCCCTAAGTATGTGGGATCCAGGTTCAGCCCTCAACGCCCAAAGGCCAGGACATGCTCGAGGCGGCCTCAAGGCTGCGGGGTTTTATGCCGTATGTGGCTTTACGCTTTCAGGCTCTGAGCCCTGAAGTTTCTAGGCGCCGATTTGAAGGCTTAGGGGCTTATATCTGGGATCTAGGGCAGTATGAGACTTTTGGGGTTAAGGGTTACGGGGCTGAACTCGAAGCCCCAGACCCTAAATAATCTGGGCTTAGGGCTGATAGGGGCTAAACGCGGGCGCTTCAGACGTATTCCACACTTGTCCTTGTGATTCTTCGTGTCGATTCTTGTAGACTCCCTGAACAAGGCTTAAGATCGGGATCCTCAACCTTACGCCCTTGAGGAAAGGGGCTCAACAACCCAGGCCATAAAACCCCAAATGCTGAACTCCTCGTCGCTTAGAAGTTGCAGACCCTATGACAAAGGAGCAGAGCTTGAACACCATCCTCTGTGTAAGACCCACCCGGCCTCGACATGTTGGCAAACAGAAAAGATCAGACTGGAATCGCGAGAAACCGGGCGCGAATCCTAGCAACTTGAGCCAAGCGAGCGCAGGGGCTTAGGGTCGAGGCTTAGCATTGTGCCAGCTGAGGGCAGCACAAGAAAACGTACATAGCGGCCTTCATAATTAGAATAGGGTTTTGGGGTATATTATACTGTAAATATAATAAGGAACCCCCAAAATACTGTTGATGGCCAAAATCCTGCATGACCCTAAGGACTCTAAACTATGGGAACGATGGTATATTCCTTATAATGGGTAATGCAGGATTTTGTCCATCAACAGTAGTATAGGTAATTATTGAGACCCCTGTAGTAGGCAAGATGTCAACGAAAAAAATCTGGCATTGACCAACTGCCTCCACCTCCAAACTGAATCAAGTGCAGTCCAGACCAGTAGTGAATGTAAACTCCGGATTAACAAACCATTCTCCCACTATAGGGATGACGTTGTCAAAATTAGGGTCCGTTTTGGGTGCCCTAAATATTAGGTGCCGTACTATAGTAAGGCCCAAATAAGGGACCATAATTTTGACAACCACCCATATATAAGGATGAATATAATAGACATCTGCACCCTAACCTTTGGGCCTTGAAGGAAAGGGGGCTCATCAAGCCCAGGTGCATGAGCGAATGCGTACACGTCACAAGTCTGCACCGGCAAGACATCTGTGTCACCCCGACAAACTGACCCGCTAGCACCAAATCCTGTCAAGCAGAAACAAGCAACCAAAGCAAACGATGCAACTGGACAAACACCTACATTTCTAACCCTCAACCCCTCCATCCCTCCAGACATCTATGAATGCAATGCACGCGACTTTAGAACCGCACTTTCTCATAACCTCCAAAGTTTGTAAACCCTTGACCCTATGAACCCTAAATCCTACGACCTAAACCCTACCAAACCCGTAACCCTGTAAACTCTATATCCTAAGCCCTAAACCCCACTAAACCCGTGACCCCAAAACCTACAAAGCCTAAGCCCTAAACCCTACTAAAACCCCAAACCCAGTAAACCCTGAACCCAGTGAACTCTAAATCCTAAGCCCTAAACCCTACTACGTAAGCCCTTACCCCTCAGCCCTACAAAGCCTAAGCCCTAAACCCTAAACCATTAACCCTGAAACCTACAAAGCCGAAGCCCTAAAACCCTAAACCCCAAACCCTAAAACCCAAACCCAAACCCCTAAAACCCTAAACCCTAAAACCCTAAAACCCTAAACCCCAAACCCCAAAACTCCAAACCCCAAACCCCTAAACCCTATAGATCCCTTATAGAGCCCTTATGGATCCCTTTAAAGGAACCTAAACCCCTAAACCCCAAACCCCTAAACCCTAAACCATTAACCCTGAAACCTACAAAGCCGAAGCCCTAAATCCTACTACAACCCCCAACCCTGTAAACCCTGTAAACCCTAAACCATGACACAAAGCCGTAAACCGCTGCCTTCGCATCCAAAGCCAACTCGGCCTGGGAATGAACTGGTGCCCACAAGGCGTTTTTTTTAGTTTGTTTGTTTTTTTGTTTTCAGCTTTTGTCGTTTTTAGCTTGTTGTTTAAAGCTTTTGTTGCTTTTATTTTGTTTTTCAAATTTTTTTCCACCTAAGGATAAAATAAGGGTTTAGGGTGTAGGGTTCAGGGTTAGGGTCTAGGGTGTAGGGCGCATGAGGCTTTAGGGTTTAGGGTGTAGGGCAGGGTTTAGGGTGCAGGGTTCCGGGTTTAGGGTGCAGGGTTTAAGGTGTAGGGTTCAGGGTTTGGGATTTAGGGTAGAGGGCACTAGTTCCTCAACGGTCATAGCCCAGCCTTTATCTGTGAGGTGTATTCGCAGTCGATCTCCTTCGACGTGTGGGGTTGCAAGGCATCAAGGTCTGGCACCTGTGTGATGACAAGGAGCCAGGCTTTGAGCGGGCCGAGGGGTGCAAGCCTCCCCCGCACCCCAATGCTGCGAGAGGGGGCTTTGTCTAGGGGACCGGATTGGCCTTCGCGTGCGATGCGCAAGGGAGGTAAGCCGGCAAAGGCCGGGGCATCCCCCTGTGCATCAAGGCCCTGAATGTGTACCTCAGAGCATCCATTGGTAAGCTGGATGTAGTCAGTGGTGGTACCGCCGGCGGTGGGGATGTGTGGCGGGATGTCGTCAATGTCGATATCGGGAGCGTTGTGGTATGGGTCCCACACCTGTAGGGCTCAGGGTTTACGGACCCTATAAGACCTTCAAGTTTAGGGTTGCTTATGATGATTTCCTTATATATGTCCTTATTAAAAGGTAGATTCGTTAGGTTTACTGAGGGGATCACATAGGGTCCTTATTAGGGTCTAGGACTACTTTTGTTACGAAGGGGCGCGCCCGAGCCGTCCTTTCCCGAAACCATAAGACTCGACTTCTCCATCAGGCAACCAAGATCAGGCGTCAAGAAGCCATGGGTGCAGGACGATGAACTTACATCTTGAGACTGCAAACAAACCAAAAACCCAAAACATCCTAATCACAAGCCTCCAAACCAACACGGAAGCCCTGAAACCGAAAGCCTGGATCCCGAAAGCGCCGCAGCAACGCCATAGACGGTTCAGGGTATAGTTTGGGCTTAGGTTATAGAACCCTCAAGACAAAGACCTACTTGTCGGGTATCATAGGGATCTAAAGGTTAACTTTCTGGGTATATAGGGATTATATAGGGACTACAGTACCCCAAAAAGGTTAAAGGTTACCTACTCCACTACTACGGCTGATGATAAATAAAATCCTGCATGACCCATGATAAGGAATATACCATAATTCCCATCGTTTAGGGCCCTAATGCAGGGTTTATATCATCAACCCTAAACCCTAAACCCTAGAACCCTATAGATCCCTTAAAGGAATCCCTAAAGGTATCCTTATAGATCCCTTTAAAGGAACCCTGGGATTTATATCATCAACCGTAGGAAGACACATTGCAGCACCCTTCGCAAGAAGATCCGCCTGGTCAAAGGCCGTGGCTGTCAGGGAGTCCTGGAGACCCGAGCCCGGTGAACAACGGACTTTAAGGGGTTTACAATTTAGGGTTTAGGGTTTAGGGATTAGGGGTTTAAGGGTATAGGGTTTAGGGGGTTTAGGTTTTTTTGGGGTTTAGGTTTTGGGTTGAGGGTTTTGTTGTCATTAATGTTTGGGGTTTTGGGTCTATAGGGGTTTCCTACGGGTGCTACAAGGACTACAAGGGTGTTGTGGGGTTGCAGAAGGGTGCTATGAGGGGTTTATGGGAATCTACAAGAAGGTCTCGAAGAGTGGTTGATGGGGGTGCTCGAGGGGGTTGACAGGGTCTTTACAAAGGGTTTATTTCAAAAGCCACGGTTTAGGGTTTACGGTTTAGGGTTTAGGGTATTAGGGTTTAGGGTTTAGGCCTACAGAAATCCAATCATTACGCGCGGGACATGGATATCATCGCTTATTCTTCAGACCTTCATTCTTTACCGCAGCTGCACGTGTCAATGGAAAGATCCTGAGGGATTCAATAAAGGGATGCTACAACTATGAGGGTAGTGATCCAATGAAGGGATACTACCGCTATGAGGACATTAGGAGTCTAGGGCGGCTCGATGACTTCGGCAGAAGAGGAAGGGCCCGTTGAGGTAGAGCGACTTCTGGCCCGAGAGTTCCCGCAGAGGTGGGGTGGGCTGCCAGAATCACATGTACCCTAAGGCCCCATAGTAGTTCCTTTTGGGGGTGCATTCTTTA